TTACAAGATGATTTAAATAAATTATTGACGTGGTCATACACCTGGGGAATGGAGTTTAATACTAGTAAATGTAAGGTCCTTAGAGTTGCTCGGATTAATTCTGTCTCTGAGAGAGACTATCATCTTGGAGGAATAAAGTTAGAACGAGTGGTTGTTGAAAAGGATCTTGGTGTTTTGATTAGACAGGATTTGAGCCGGAATGATCATGTTGATTTTATTATAAGTAAGGCCCAAAAAATGTTAAAACTTTTTTAAAAAGTTAGGCTTCAAATATATTTGTACTTAGATATATGCATTCTTATATGTATTCTTATTGTAGGCTGATAGATTAACTCACATCAGGTGGCTTATGATAGGGAATCTTGAATTCTGTTTTAAGCTCACCTCAAATTACATTATAATTATATAGTTTTCCTAATTTAATTTGATGTATATTTGGAAATTGATTAAAGTTTAAAGTTCTTCCCTCCTTTTCTCCTTTCTTTCCTCTCTCCTTCTCTATCCCACGTCCAGTGGCGATGGTTTATAAGTGAGCAGAACAGAGAGTATGCACTGTATGCACAACATATTGTAGAGCTTCAGTAGCCGCCTTTGTGCCTAGGCGCCATTATTGGGATTGCCGTAGAGAAGGTTAGGGAAGTATGGTGGGGTAAACACTACCTCTCGAGTATATGCTAATAAGGATTCCTTATTAGCATATACTCGAGAGGTTAGGATTATCCATTACTCAACACTGACTGCGATGGATGGGATCACGTGAGACGGATAAACGAGACACAGATCTTCTATACTACAGCCAACTTAAACACGAAAACCCGCAAAAAGAAACGCTACTACGACCAACCGAAAAAGGCTTTTACTTCAACAAACATCAATCACTACACCTGGGAAACGGTTCATCGAATCGTAATGGTTGGAGACAGTAAATCAGAAACGGAGTCACATACTCGAAGAAATAAGATAATGTGAAAATGAAGATCGAAGTCAGAGAAGAGAAAACAGAATGTTGAACCCAATAAGGTCGCAGGGTTCAATTCCCTCCGCGTTCAGGCAAATTTTTCAGCTTGCCCGGTGTGGATGCACACTCAGAATAACATCACCAACACCACCAACTATTGCTTGAAACTGTTCCGTTTAAGGCTGGGTCTCAGGAGTCACACCAAACATAAACATCCCCAGGTTACTCCACTCTCTTCGCCTACCTAACTCCTGTGCTGCCCTACTCCCTGATCTCCCCATCCATAGATTGCTCATGTCCCCTTAATTTCGACAGCACTTCACTTGCGATAGTAACTTTATATACAGTATTTGTATTAAAAATACCATGGTTTTATGGCAGGCCCTCTTTCCCCATTCCTCCTTTCCGTTCCAATGAGGGCCGGCTACTCAGGTAGAACAGTCTTCGGAATGATGGAGTTACTAGAATGATGGTGACACAAAGCTTACAACAATAACATCAACCTCTCGTACAACCATTTACATCTCTAGTTTTTCCTAGACATCAACATGCTTTGTCAGTTCAAATGGCATAAAAGTGACTGTGGAAAGTGCAAAGTGCGTCCAAGCCAATGCCTTCATTCAAGC